TTGCAACGTCCCGACCCCAGGAGGCATGCACATTCGGAGGTGGTTGGCATGCGCGACAGAGCGTCCGCGTTGGTGTGGCGAACGCCCTTACGGTAGGTGGTTTCGAAATCAAAATCCTGGAGGATCTCCAACCTTTGGGACAATTGTCCCGATGGCTGTTGAACTCGCAGGGCGTACTGCAGTGCCGCATGATCTGTGCGGACGGTGAAATGCCGACCGTACAGATATGGGCGATACTGTTGGATGAAATAGACAATTGCCAACAGTTCCCTGCGGGTGACACAATATCTTTGCTCCGCTGGAGACAACACCCGACTGCCGTACGCAACCACCCGTTCCACACCGTCAACCACCTGGGAAAGCACGCCCCCAATACCCGTGTTGCTAGCATCGGTGTCGAGCAGAAACGGTTTCGAAAAATCGGGGTAAATCAAGGGAGGAGTTTTTACCAGGGCGTCCCGAAGGGAGCAAAAAGCAGCCTCCTCCTCCTGACCCCAGTGGAACCGAACCCCTTTAGATGTTAAGGCGTGTAGGGGTTTGGCAATCGTCGCAAAATCAGCGACGAACCGTCGGTAATACGACGCGAAGCCGATGAAACTCCTGACCTCTCCCACCGAGGTGAGAGTCGGCCAGGAGCTGACACACTGCGTTTTGGCGGGATCGGTAGCAATACCCGAGCGCCCTACAATGTGCCCCAAATAACGCACCGAATCGCGTAACAAATGACATTTTTGGGGCTTGAACTTCAAATTAGCAGCCCGCATCTTTAGGAAAACCGCCCGCAACCTCTGGAGATGTTCGTCAAAAGTTTTACTGAAGACGATAACGTCATCCAAATAAATCAGGTACGACTCCCATTGCAATCCAGCCAAAACCAATTCCATAAAACGCTGGAAAGTTGCCGGTGCTGAGTGTAAGCCCATCGGCAACCGGTTGAATTGGAACAGGCCGTGCGGTGTACGGAAAGCAGTTTTAGGTTTTGATTCATCGTCCAGAGGAAGCTGCCAGAATCCCGAAAGTAAATCCAGTGTGGAGAAGAATCGCGCTCCCGCCAAGGCGTCCAGCGATTCGTCCATCCGTGGGAGCGGGTATGCGTCAGCAACCGAAATTTTGTTAAGGCGCCGAAAATCAACGCAAAACCGCAACGAGCCGTCCTGCTTTTTAACCAGGACAATCGGCGCTCCCCAAGGGCTGGTAGAGGGAGAAATGATGTCGGCGGCTAACATGTCATCAATAGCCGATTTGACATGGTCCTTTTCGGCGGGACTTAACCGAAACGGATTCTGGCATATTGGCGCGCTGTCACCCGTGTCAATATGGTGACGCAGCAGATGAGTGCAACCCAAATCGTATTTGTTCCGACTGAAAACGTCGGAAAATTCCCGCAGTAGCGTTCTAAGCTGTTGGCGCTCTGAATTTGACAGGTCCGTCGATCCCGCACAAAGCGCATTGAGCCACCCTTCATCGCTGTCCGAATGTGGGTGCGGCCGGGGAGCAGTGCCGACATGATTCGCAACCGGTTCCTTGCAGGGCATCGGCGTCGCGTGCGCAAGCACCGTCCCTTGAGGAACTACCACTGTTTGCGACCCCACATTGAGGACCGCGATGAAAGGGTCCCCGTCCCCCCTCACGACGGTCAGGGCCGGAATCAAATGCGGTCCACTAACCCCAGCCCTAGACGGTCCTAGCAGAATTCCCTGGGCCCCAATGCTCTCAGCGAAGGGCCGACGAAGTTTTAGAGGCACTAACATTTGAGCTCCCGGCGGCACACGAACTGTTTTAACGACGGACGCTGGTATAGTTACGAACGCCGTCCGAGTCGCAGTAGGTGAAGGCAGGAACGCCATGCGCCATCCCGACGGGAGCTCAATGCATACCTGGTCTATTAAAATACGAATCGGCATTTTGCCCAAGAAGTCCGTCCCCAGCAGGCACGGAACCGCCAGCGAGGAGGAAACAAAAATCGGGCCCGACAATTTGATATCCCCGATACAAATTTGCGCTCGAATCTGTCCAATGATGCCAAGGGAGCCCCCGTTAGCAGCATAGAATGGGACGTTAACCGGCAGTAAAGGACGGCTCTAAACAGGTAAAATGTTGTAAATTAGTTCGGAAATGATGGTCGCCGATGCCCCCGTGTCGACCAGGATGCGTACCTCAACCCCGTCAATGTGTCCCACGACGGCCGACGACCCCGACGACGCGGCCACAACGCGATGGGCTAACACGGACCACTGCCTGGGTTCGATTTGAGTCCCCACAGTGGTGCGTGTTGGCCCGTCGCAGCGCAATGTCGGCCCCCCGTTCGTTGTGGTGCGAGAGTGTGTGACAGGTGTGTGCTTAGGCCAAACATGTGTGGTGCCGCGACTCGTCGGATCATGTTGATGGAGCTTGGGAGGAGGAGGAGGGCCGGCGTCCTGTGGAGGCGTCGTCCCGCGCTGCCGAGGAGAGCGGCACCCCGAGGCGACATGGCCCCAGACGCCGCAGTTGAAGCAACGCGGGAGCGCCGGCGGCGATGACGGACGGTGGAAGCGGCTCGCTCCATCCCGGCCCGACCGTGCTCCCGTCCTCTGCTGCCGTCGATGGTCGATGGCGTAACCCTCCTCCGTCGGGAGGGTGACTGCAGCCACCGCACGCCCGGCCCCTGCCCTGCTGGCCCTCCGTCGCTGTGACAGCAGGTTGGCGTGGAGGAGCCGCGCAGCTTGGAGGGAATCCATCTCCGTGTTGTCCTGTGCAACGACGGCGATGTCCAGGTCGTCTGCCAGCAGGAGGATTTTTTCTGTCACCATGGCGTCGACGCCGCCCTCGTCCATGCGAGGGAAGGCCGTCTTCGCCAGCGCCAGGAGACTCGTTCTGTACGCCAGGGGCGACTCCTTTGCGCCCCGCTGGCGGTCGTAAAACTGCTGCCTGCATTCCGCTGAAGGTCCGTAGACCCCGGCCAGCAGCTGCAGCGCCATCGGTAGTGTAGAGCGCTTCTCCCTCGGCGCCGATGTGAGGGCGGCGAGTGCGTCGCCGTCGAGGAGCGCCGGCAGCGCGCAGAGAGCTTCAGCATCCGACCATTTAGCCATTTCTTGGTGGGCGAGGAAGCGTCGCTGAAAGCCGCCCCAGTCGCCCTCCGCGCCAACAAACTCTTTAAGCGGAGGCAGTCTTTGGTGCAGCGCAGCGGTCGCCGTGGAACCCCGCAGGCTGCTGTCTCCGTGACTCGGCTGTGCTTCGGCGCGAACGGCAGATGGTATCGCCTGTCGCAGCCGTGATGACGTTCCCTCCGCTGGCGATGACGCGGCAGCCCCAGCAAGGCCGATGTCGGACCCGAGGTTCAGGCTGGCCACGCCCTGAGCAGCCGTTGCGGCGATGGCAGGAAATTCAAAGTTTGAATCTTCGGAGATGGCGGGAAGGCGCTCCGGACGCCGGCTCTCCTCGCCCCGTGGTGGACCACCAGCCCCCAGCCGCGTGATGTTCTCCAGCGTGGCGGCAGCGGCGTAAAGTAGCTCTGCCAGCCTTGCGTGAGCCAGCCTCAGCCCTTCTGTCTGCGGCTCCTCTTCATGCCGATGCCCCGGTAAGAACGCGTCCGGCCCCGGCTGCACGATGTCTTGTTGAGCCGTCTCGGGCTCGACAATTTCAGCGGTGTCCTCCACTTGCGGTACTTTGGCTCGAGCTGTTTGGCGCGTGTCCATGTTCGTAGTTGTTCTGACACCAGATGAAGTACCGTTGATGACGCTTGGACACCGTTGTTGGGCACACGTATTTATTCGTACAAGTAGTCACACTGCGGACATACAATACTAGAGGGGTGTATCGGCCCCCTCACCCGGATAGCTGGGAATACTCTACTAGCTACCCCTGACCTACCTCCTAGTCCTCCACTAACGGGCTAGGGGAGGCTATCTGGCCCGACACTGGTCAGTCGGGCTACGGTACCCGGAGTCCCAGAGTACTAACTCTGGTTCACGGGACCACGCCACTGGCTTGGTCCTGCGCGGCCCTGACAAGGGCGGCGTCCCAGGGGAGTCCAGGGCTCTAGCTAGTCGATCTTCTGTCTTCTCCCTTTTACTCTAAACTGAACCCCGAGCTCTCCGGCTCATCCCCATTTATACCCCCCGGAGGATCACAACCCCCCGGGCAGCCCCCCAGGCCGCCCGGTGCGGACGTCGTTGCGGGCACCTCCCCGTGTACTCACGGAGCCCCGCCCACTGTGTTTGTTACCCGTGTGATCCTATGCATACAGCCCTACCCCTCTGTAACAGCCCTACATATGTATGTTGTATGTATGTTGGATTTCTATTATACCGGACGGAGCCAACCGTGCTAATCGGAGGTGCGGCGGAAGGAATGAGAGGTGCGGAGGAATTCATGGTTTCTGTATGATTAGCAATTCAATTATCTGGACTCAACAGCAAGAGAGAGATGTTTTTGTTAATTCCTAAAATGATAGACACAGGATGGTTTTCTCTTTGAGGCAAACCTAAATCTGTAAAGGAAATCTACATTCACATGCCAGTGGTTCGTACGACTTTATGATAACTACCTTTTTAGTTATATCAAAGTTGTAAACATTTTATCGACCCCAGAAGTATGATGGATTTTTGATTTCCAATTGTTTGCTTCACCTATCGTACACATTTTAATTTTGTATTTGAATAAATTTTCTATAATTATGTCGTGTTTGTTTGTGTATATGCAACAATGGGGAGCAGTAGTGTAGCAGTTAGTGCGCTGCGCTATGAAACCGGCAACCCGAGTTCGATTCCCACTTACGGCCAACACCAGTGACGATTATCTGAACCGGTCCTGGGCCTCCCCTAGGTGGACTCAGCAGTGTGTAAAATCATTGCCACTCGGGAGACAAAGGCGGTCGGGCGAGGTGCTGGCCACCAACCCTCTCATGTGCAGTGCCATGCCGTGCCGGCCTTCATATGTGCTCGCTAACACCACTTGCCCCAAACAGGCTGTTCAGGCGATACGGGGGATATTTGTACGTGTATGTGTTTGTGTATATGCAGCAACACCAGGACTACGACACTTGGCCACTGATGATCGGCGCCATGCCCAACGTCAAAGCCCCCCAAGATCGGTAACAAAAGAAGATTGTAAATTTTTGGATGTTGTGGATTTGCTCTCCAACACACTGGTGTGCTGTACTAGTAATGAATTGGCAAGTTATGTTAACGTGACAAACCTTACGAATTGGCTGTGTCGGATGGTGGCGGGTTTAACGACGCATTTATATTTAAGCGATCTAACCCCAAAAACCTGTATTATGGATGATACTGGTCGCGAAAGCCTACGTGTTAAAATAAGGCAGTTTCGCTAAATTCGGCATTGAAATTACAATGCTATTGAATCACCGTTGCACTGCCATTCAATGCAGCTGTTGTGTATATATTGACTCGTATCTAAAGCATTTTGGGCGGCTTTTGTTTTCAATTTATGCCGGTCGTGCCGGCTGAGCGCTCTGACCTCCGGCCTATATACCAGATATATACCATGGGAGACTGATACCTGTGCAGATGAGTATGGCTCAGAGATGAGTGCTACGAACACAATACTAGTCTAAGCCTTTGGGTTGCACTACTGCGACCCGAATAAAACACATATATTTACGCTGGTGGCCTTTTCGCCAAAATCTCAATATTTATCTGTTTTTCAGGCGGTAAGATATTGCATTTTTTTTTATATACCACGTATATGGTGACACTTCAATAAATTGAGAATGTGGAAATACAAGGGGGCATACAGTGACTGCATTGGCAGTTTGGTAAAAAAAACACGCACACGCACAGTGCACTTCGGCAGTGACTGGTGGTGCTAACGGGGGGCGGGGGGGTACAGTCTTTTAAATATGTGCACAAAGTGTTCTTGGTTATGTCCTGTGATGCTTTAAGACACGTTTAACACAACAGTCGCATGCACGGGCTTGTTTTGAGGACCTTTTGGCCCAATAACCCAATACGTTCAGCTTTTAAGCAGATAAGACATTGTATTTTTAAAAACAAATATGCCAATGATAATGGTTATTTTTTTAGGGCAATTGAATATTTTTAGAATAGGAGTGCACATATCCCTTAAGCCACTTGGGAGCCCGTTGAGACAACAAATATACTTTGCAAGATAAACTAGGGTTACGTGTGCAGTCTAGATAATACAATATTTCGGACTTCAGAAACACATATTCAGACACGTTGAAATATGTAAAATTCTCTAACACATTAAATTAAAAAAAACTACAGCAAAACAGAAACTTAAAGTTGTTATTGGGTGTTAGCGTGTATATTCAGTGTACGGGTTTTTTTTTGGAGTGACCTTGCCACAAAAACAGGAATCTTTAAAAAAATGTAAGTCGAAATGATCGTTTGACACTGGCACGTGTTGTAATTGCTAGTTCGTTGTCCATCACTACACTGGGGAACAGCTTCGTTTACCTTACGGAGTATAAGGCTTTGCGGCCACTGGCACTGCGACACAGAGTCTGTCCTACAACGCGGTGGTTGCGTTCCTGATGACCACCGCAGCGTCATTGCCCGATCGTTTAGATTTAAAGCTTTCGTGACTGCAGGGATTCATCTTCTTAGTTCTTTCGGTAAAGTCACGTAGAAGGGAAATAATAAAAGAATAAAAATTAAACATAATAAAATACAATTCTCACGAACAGAGCTGTCGGAAAGACGCTGTCTTTGCTGTCTTTCCGACAGCCCTGTTCGTGAGAATTGTATTTTATTATGTTTTGTCTTTCCGACAGCCCTGTTCGTGAGAATTGTATTTTATAATGTAAATTTTTTATTATTTTATTATTTCCGCTGTCTTTCCGACAGCCCTGTTCTTCACCTGAGGACGGCTGCTTGCGTTGTGGCCGAAACGTCGTGAGAATTGTATTTTATTATGTTTTATTATTTTATTATTTCCCTTCTACGTGACTTTACCGAAAGAACCAAGAAGATAGTCCGATCGTTCTCGTGCGTCCCCCAGTTGTACGCAACATCGCCAACATCTCTGTGCGTTCGCAAACGTCGTCCTGCAACGTGTGCCCGCAGATTCCGTCTCGTCTGGATCATCTTCTTCATCATGGGCTTGGGCGCTCTGCTGCCGTGGAATTTTTTCATTACAGCCTCAGCGGTGAGGCCCCATCACTGGCATCACCCCCCCCACCACACTCAGCTCAAGTGTACAGGGCACTCGAGCATCCGCTCGAATGAATCAGAATCAACATATTTATTTGTACTGGAGGAATCCTATGAGCTATAAAGTTCGTTTTCACAGATGTCCAGCAGATGCGGGAAAGGACACTACAACAACTGAAAACAGTACAAAAACACGATAGCAGTGCAAAGTACAAGAAAGGTGAACAAATCACAAATGACGGGGAGGACAGCCGTGGATAATTAAAAATTGCGGATAATCCAAAAACATCATTTTCCTCAGATCTCTAAGCAAAAAAACACTCGTATAGGTATAAATTGTGTTGAAGTCACACACTTTCGTAAAATAAAACTCACGAAATAAATGATCGGATAAATCACTCAAAATGAAGCACAACTGACGATTTGGATTGTTGCCGTTTCGATTTAGAACGAATACGAACGACCGACCAATGCGCGTCCTCAGTGATTAAAACACTTTCCTGCTTCTGCGCAGAAGACTCGGCTCACGAAGTGGATCGCAGCAGAGCCACGCCAATCAACATCAATCAAACTCCGCCCATTGTTGTAAAGAAATGCAACTACTTTACTGTAGACCCGATCACGTGGATTTGGATTAACTGGAGCACATATTTCTTCGGTTTAATCCCGTGACTTGTAACAAACATTTCCAAGAATAACAATGTATAACTATTTTTAGATCATGAATTTAGGCTTAAGGGAAAATCCATGAGTTTATAATTTATGTCCATGGTAAATACGCAAATCGGATAAACCGCACGCGGATAATCGAGAGTCTACTTAATTTAGTTTAACCAGGTAAGAAACTCAGGAGACCAGGATCAAGTCGCACTTGCAAAAGTCTCCAAAGTTACAAAAAGCAAACTACTTATTCTTGGTTCTTTCGGTAAAGTCACGTAGATAGAAAACAAAATGCAAAATTAAAAGCAAAAAACCCACAACGTTTCGATCGCAACACAAGCGTTCTTCACCTGAAGAAGGTAAAGTCACGTAGATAGGTGAAGAACGCTTGTGTTGCGATCGAAACGTCGTGGGTTTTTTGCTTTTAATTTAGATTTTTGTTTTCTATCTACGTGACTTTACCGAAAGAACCAAGAATATGAATTCCTGCAGTCACGAGAGTTTTAAGTCTAAAGCAAACTACTCTTAAATGTTAACGTGCAGCTTGCCCACAAGGGGTCTACCACAGTGCTTCTCAACCTCTTTCATTCCACCGCACACTTCAGAGCTTGCTCCGTCTTCACACCACACCGAACCAACAATTCACCGTGGAGACTGGATGGGATGTCCAACTGCGCATGCCGGAGGTGGTGGCTGACGGCTGTCTGCCACACTGCGCTGCGGTCAAAATGGAGAGTTCAGTTCATTTTATTTCAGTTCATTTATTTGGTATAGCCCTGTGAGCCATTCGGCTCTTGAATCGGATGCAACCGCAACAAACTAAAATATGAACAAGAAAACATCTTAAAGTGACTAAACGCAACAGAAAAATCCAGGAAAAAACAGCAAAATCTTCCAGAAAAAGCACCATATATCAATGCTGTTTGCAAAAAACACCTATAAGACAATTTAGATTACAGTTATCGGTCTAACTCTGTACTACAACAAACAAATATGGCTAAACCAGAATATTTTCGAAATCACCAAAATAAAGCTATAAAAACAATGTAACAACAGTGATCATAGGAACTGTGATTCCAATTGAACAATAAACGATCTGCATATCATGTGTAATAAACGACTCTGTCAGGCTTTCTTGGTCTCCGTTTTGTTTTTTATTTAGGTTCTTCTCCGCACCCCACTGGTCTCCTCCACGGACCAGCGTCGTCTCTCACCACGCGCCCCGCGCACGCTCCGTGTGCCCCGCACACTCCGCTAGTCATTCACTAGCCACGTGTGCCCCGCACACTCCGCTAGTCACTCACTAGCCACGTGTGCCCCGCACACTCCGCTAGCCACTCACTAGCCACGTGTGCCCCACACACTCTGCTAGCCCCTCACACACCGCTAGCCCCGTGCTACCCCACGCACGCTCCTCTCGCATGCCCCGCATGCTCCTCTCACGTGCCCCGCACGCTCCTCTGTCAGCTCCTTCCTCTCGCGTGCCCCGCATGCCCCATCAGCCACGTGGCTGATGGCGCGGCGACCACCCAACGTGGTCCCGCTTCTTCACTCCATCAACTGGCCCTGATCTCTTTCGGGCTCCCTCCTATAACCTCTCTCCCACGTGACCCTGACTCCTCCCTCCCGGACCGTCAGATCCGGCCTTCCCATACTGCCCTGCTGGCTCCACCTCCATTCACCTCGCTTCCCATTTACGCTGGCATTACACATGCATGACCAAACTTTGCAGCCATAGCATCATGAGATGCGTATTACAACTAACGAAGGCGGCGTCTTTGCATAGATAAGCAGTACCTTGCACACCACTGGGTGGCAAAAACGTCATCTTCCTCATTTTCCTGTAAAGTGTCCACACCAATCCGAGGGGAGGTGGCAGGAGATGGCGGCTGTGATCGGCCACTGAACGGCATGGAGGGTGGGAGGTGGAGAGAGTTCATTGGTTCTAGCTCGTGAACGGCGAGGTTCCCTTCCTTCCCTGTGATTCTAAAAATACCGCGGCACACCATGGGACTTGAGTGGACCGTGGCGCCAGACCGAGCACCACGGTGCCGTACCAGCTCCTCCGGACGCCACGCCGCTCGTCAATGAATGTGTAGGGGTGTCAGGGGAAGGATTCCCACCAATAGGAGGGTTAGTGGGAGGGGTGATCGAGGGGATATAAGGGGAGAACAGGCGGGAAGAGGGGGCCTTTGGCAGGAACGATATTGGGACGGCTGGGGACAGGTGTGGATGGGAGAAAAGGATTAAAGGACGAAACCCCTGCAATCTTGTGTCGGCTCTCCCTTACCTCTGGTGGCAGCGGTGGGATCTACAATGGTTACAAAGAAGAATCCCCGCAGAAAAGAGCCAAGAGAAGAGGAAGCAGGGGCCGGGGATCCTTCCCATCCCGGGCAACAAGGGGGCCTTGCTATCAGAAGCAGCAGCAGGGGGCCGGGATCGCCTGGAGGACCCCATGGAGGACCGCATGGCCTGCGTGGAGAGGGCACTCCAGGAGCTACTGCAGAGGCTCCTTATGGGGGGCCTGTCAGCACCGGGACCCCCACCCCCACGCGTACTACGGGAGGAGAGGCCACGGGACCCGGAGGCCGACCAGCCGGCCGGGCAGGAGCCGCAACCAACCTCGTCACGCCAGCCGCCGCCGCTCCCGCCAAAACCCCCAGGGCTAAACACCCAACACGGAGAGCAGGTGGCAGGACGGCCGCGTCGGCTGGGGCCCGTCGACAAGTTCGTGGCTGAGGAAGAAGATTGGGAGGGGTTTGTCCGCCGATTCGAGGCTGCCTTCCACGCTCTCGAGTGGACAGACGAAGAGGCACTACGAGCGCTGCCTTCCGTTCTGGGCGAAGAGGCACTCTCCTCTTACACCTCCCTTCCCTCGCACAGCAAGACCACGCTACAGTCGGCCTACGAGGCTTTGGGGGAGATCTATTGCCCGGCGGAAGGAGCCTTTAAACGGTTCCAGGACCGCCAGCGAGGGGCTAGAGAATCCCCTTTAGCCTACAGGGGTGCGCTGCTCGTGTTGGCGAGGAGATCTTTCCCTCGCCTGGCTGAAGAAGCGCTCAAGGACCTCGTGGTCGAGCACCTCATCGCCTATGCTTGCTGCGCTGGCGTTGTAATGCCCGTGGTGACGCCGGAGGAATGCACCTCGCTGTGGGCTGCCCGGACCATCCAAGCCCACGAGCAGGTCATGGGCTGGGCGCCACCCATGGGCCCGGTGGCTGGCGCGGCGGGGGGGAACAGCCGAGCCGTTTCCGCGGCGCTACTGGGTCCAGCGACACCAACCGCCGAACCTGCACCGTCGCCACAGGCTGCCTGTGGGGCAGCTGGGAACGGACCTCCGACGTCTGAGCCGGAGCCATCGCTGCGGGAGGTGTACGCGGCGATCCGGGGACTGGCGGAGCAGAGGGACCAGGGGCGCGACCAGCCGCCGCGTCGCTGGCAGCCGCCTCTACAACATCGCGCCGAGCCCCCCCGACGGAACGCCCCGTGGGTCTGCCACCATTGTGGTCGAGAGGGGCATGTGGCGAGGGGGTGCCGCACGGAGCCGGAGGCCGCCAACACCACCTGGAACCCGCCGGGGCCGAAGGCCGACAGGATCCAGGCGAGTGACGCCGTCCCGCCCGGCCTCTCGGTCGGGCCGAGCAATTATAACCCCGACGCCGCGAACTCACCGGGAGTCTCCTCGGGGAAGGCGCCGTCGGTGTCGTTTCCCGGTCCCCACTGTCCTGGTCGGGGGAAGGGGATCACGCCAGGGATAGCGCCGGGGCCGGTGATCGCGGCGCGACCAGAAGTGGCGTCGCGACCCAGAGTGGTGTCGCGAACGGACGTGACGTTGCATCCGGAAGCGACGTCGCGGCCGAAAGTGGTGTCGCAGATCGCGCCGGGAATTGCGCCGGGGCCGTGGACCGCGCCGGGAATCACGCCGGGGCCAGGGACCGTGCCGGGGATCGCGCCGAGGCCGGGGACTGCGCCGGGAATCGTGCCTAGGCCGGGAGGGACGTCGCGGGCGGAAGTGACGTCACGGGCGGAGGTGACGTCGCGGGCGGAGGTGACGTCGCTGGCGGAAGTGACATCGCGGGCGGAAGTGACGTCGCGGCCGGGGGTGACGTCGCGGCCGGCAGTGACGTCGCGGCTGGGCGTGGCGTCGCGGGCGGGCGTGACGTCGCGGGCGGGCGTGGTTTCGCGGGCGGGCGTTGTTTCGCGGGCGGGCATGACGTCGCCGGCGGGCGTGACGTCACCAGTTACCTGCGACGCCGGCGAGTTGCCAGGGGCAACGGCCCTGGGGCGGAGGCAGCCCACAAAATTGATATTGCGCCCTGGAGCAGTTCCACGGCC